AGGGATTTGGATTTTATTAAAACATAGCAATAAAAGGGAGAAAAATTTCATTAATACTAGCAAGTGAAGCAAGTAGAAAAACTCAAGAGGAAACACCTCATAGGAGAAAGCAAAACAATTAAGAATTTAAGTTTGGGGAAACATAAAGCAAGGAAAGAAATTAATCAAAATATTATGAAGAGACCTTGCCAAAAAAGCAATCTCAAATCAAAATCTGAAGCTAGTAAAGCTTCCAAATGAATCCCCACTTTTCAAAAGTTTCCGTTTTAATATACAATGAAAGCCTTGATATTATAATTAATCTTTGCACTTGTTGTCTACATGTTATCCTTTTTTTCTTTTGTTAGCTTAAGGTTATACCCTAAAACCCTAATTACAACTAACAAAGACCTTTTGATCTTTTTAAATTGTTATACATTTCAATGTGGGAGAAGAGAATGACTAATTTTGCTATGGAAAGTTGAACTTATATGTCTAAACATCTTTATTTAAAGGTTTTAAAAACTTTTGGTAGAAATTCATATTCTATTTGTCATAGATTGAGTAAATTATTGTGTTGAAAATCTTATTAACTTATGATTAAATAAAAGGAAATGTGTTTTTGAAAATTGAATTTTTTGTTTAGAATATAATTAGCATAGGGAACACTTAAATTATTCCTCATGTTAATGATTTTTGATAACTCTGAAAATTGAGAATAATCTATCTCCAACCATAAATTAAGCTAGCTTTTATTAGTTGTTTAGTTGGTAAGTTTTCTTCAGTCTTTAGCTTATTACTTGAGGACAGGCAATGATTTAAGTTTTGGGGATTTTGATAGTGTTTATTTTTTTTATAGTATTTTTAATTATAGTTTCTTATTAGGATTTTTTAGCATTTTTTTTAGTTTTTTTAATTTCTAGTTTTATCTATGGTTTTTTGTGTAAAGTGTCCTTCGAATCATAATCCACTTTGATTTAAAAGAAATTTGTAGGGTTTTGACACAGAAAAGAGTAAATAAAGCAAAACACTCAGACTCTAAGCACACCCTGCCCGTGCCACATTAGCAGCCCAGTACGTTTGAATTTAAGGGAAAATCAAGTTGGAAGACTCAGACTCTAGCACGCCCAGACCATGCTATATGGCACGCCCGTGCCTAAGAGGACCTCAGGCCAAGCACGCTTCGTGATGCAAATTTCTCCCGGAGACTCAAAGCCTAGCAAGCCCTAAGCCGTGCTTATAGGGCAACGCCCGTACCACAGATTTCTTCTCTGGACGTGTCGCTGAGCACGGCTTCGTCTGGAACCATCCTTAGAACTCGGACCTCTGGCAATGCCTAGACCGTGCAAAACAGCACGCCGTTGCTACGAATTGGTGTTGTCTTGAATGAGAACCGCAGCCAGTTTCCTATAACTTACATGGGCCCCACTCAGATATTTTCCTGAACGTAACAAATCAAGATCTAATCCTATTTAGGAAGGATAGAAAAGTCCTAAATTGAGAAGAAATCCCAAAACCTAAACAGTTTCCTATCTCCAAAAAGATAGGAAGTCTATATAAAGAAGAGGAAGCCATTCATTGTAGAGATATCTCCAGTTTTTGACAAATTCTTGTTCTATTGTTTCTTTCTCTCTCTCAAATGACTTCAAGCATTCAAGATTTGTACCAAGATTCAAGGAGCCGTCCACGTTATTTGTTGCTAGTTTTTAATCTCTAAACTCTTAAACTTGTTGTTATCTTTTTTCATTAATTCTGATTGAGTTATGAAATTTTATTTCAACGTATTATTGGTTTTATTTAATTATTCTCCTGTCGAACTAATCTCATACTAGGTGATTTGATGTAGCTTTAATTTCTTTTTCCAATTTAAAATATTAGATTTGTTTTTCCTTGTTCAAAGTAATAATTTATTATTAACTTAACTGCTTCCAGGCAGAGTTTCTCCCCCGGATTGATTTATTATCATTAATCACTATCAGGATAAGGGTTTTTTTTTGATATGAAAATGTATAAATTACATGAGAATAATAACTGATGCGGAACGCTATATGGTTTTTACTCATGGGGGGGTTTCCAATAAGTTTATATGACCTTAGGTTATGAATTCACAAAAACAAACCATAAATTAATGATTTTAATTCATATTTGATTGCGCTATTAGAAGATAGGTAATTAATTGGAATTAAAATAGCTAACAAAACATCGGGAGAGTTTGTTAGTGATTTTTAGGGTTGTTTCCCCGACTTGAACAATTAAAATTGATTAACGAACTAAATAAAATAAATTGGATTGGATTAAGTGAAGTTAAAATCTCTTTGTAGCTTTAAATCATTGATTTCTTTTCTTCAAAATTGTTGCTTGAATTTATTTTTGTTCTTCTTTTAATTATTTATTTTAAAATTTCTTAAAAATTTCCCCTTATTTGGCCGTTTTTAAATAATAATAGGTTAACATAATTGTACTTGGTATACAATTCTTGTGGAAATGATACTCTACTCATTCTATATTAGTTGTTGCGATTTTCGTACACTTAAGAAAAACACTGTCAGTAATGAATGAATACATTTCATTACAAACATTTTTCATTGTAATTGCATCTTTAATTATATTGCATTTACATTAATGGGTTTGTTCAGCGATATTAGCTATTTTAGGGCATATTCGGCACTAGTTATTATAGTAGCTGTTAACTGTTCTATTAGCAATTTAAACTATTTTTAAGCCAGCTTGTTAGCAAGTTAGATATTTTTAGCTGTTAGCTATTAATTGTTTATGATAGTGGATTTAAAAGCAAAAGTATTTAGTAAAAATAATATGTTTTATTAATTGTTTAGAGTAAAATGAAAAAAAAGGACATTGAAATAACTTACTTAAAAATTTTAAATTATAGGCCTAGAACTGAAGTGAACTCATCAATATTATATATAAAAGTGTTTTTTTCTCTTTTCTAAATTAGTATGGTATTTCTTTTTCCATTTTTATAAAAAAAAAAATTATTTCTTCTCACAAATTTGAAAAATGAAAAGAAAGAAAAAAATTATTTTCTTATAATTTTTATTTAATTTTAACAAGTTTTAAGATTTATAAGAAATAACAAAATAAAATAATTAAAAATGTATATTCCATTAAAATTTGAGAAAGATCAAATAAATAACCAAGAGTCAAAATTCGAAGGAAAGGTTTATAGCAAAGTAGAATCCTAAATTGTAGCATTAAAAAGAATAGAGGAAAAAAAAAACAATGGATAAGGGTGTTAAAAACCAAAATGTAAAAACGCTACGCTGCAAGATTTAACATTTGATACACTGTCTAGATCTCTAAAAATTATTACAAATATTATATGGTCGAATAATGTACTTAAATAGACAACGAGTAAAACGCTAAAAAAGCTTTGTGGAACGTTATTGCGAACAGACTCATAGTAGTTGTTAGCTATTGTAAGTAGCTGTTAGCTCTTCTATTAGCGATTAACTGTTTATATAGCTGTTTAATAAAGTGTTCAGTAAAAATAGTTTTTTAATTAGATTGTTAACGTAATAATGATAAAAAAGACATTAGTTATTTAATTAGTGAATTCGAAGGAAAAACAGGGATATGGATTGTCAAAAAAAAAATTAATTAAAAAGCTAAAAGTTTAAAAGGTTAAAAAGTTAAATATTATATTGTTTACTGTTTCATAGAGATAGAATTTTTTAATTTGATCCACAAATGCTAAAGTTAGTTAAAAAATTATTACCGATAGGCCTACATCCAACGCAAAATAATGCTTAAGTCAAGACATGTCCAATATGAAAAAAATTCATTTGAAAATGAATTCCCAATTGATGTACAAAACTGAAATATATACTACATTTAAATTCCTTTTGTTTCAAACATGGTGTAAATATTTAATGGTTTGTTTGAATTGATAAGATGTTAAAATAAATGGAATTAAAATTTAATAGATTGTGAAATCTATAAATTTCACACTAGTAAAAAAAATTCATAATATTTTAAAAAAGTATTTTTCAAAAATAAATTAAATGGTTAAAACCTATTATTAACAAGAAAGATAAAATTCACAAATCTCTCTTAAAGTTTTGAAGGTTTTCTTTCCTTTCCCTTTTTTTTTTTTTTTTCAAAATGGCAAAGTTTGATAGTCATCGTAAGAATTTACCAAAATTCCCAAATTATAACTCTCCTTCGCCAAACATATAATCTCTCTTTTTCATCTTTTCAATTTTGGCCTATTCCCAAAATATCCACTTAACTTTTTTTTTTTTTTTTTTTAACATTTTTTTTTTTTTTTTTTTTAACATTATAATTAATCTTTGAATTGTCTATTTCAACCATACTAAGTTTTATCTTATTTTCATTAGTTCTCATTAATTCATTACTTTTCTCAAGTCTATCTTACTTCAAATTCATATGGTATTCAATAAATAGCTTTATTCTCCTATTTTTTTTCCTCTTGAATTTTAAAAAGTGATCAATATTAATCACTCTCACTAAAAACAATTCGATTTTTATTATTTCAATATGATAATTGGTAATGTGTTATTTAAGATGTATATAATAGGAAAGTTATGGTAATAAAATTGTCCACTAACCATAATAACTTCTATTTCTTAATTTGTGTGAAAAAAAATGAACTATCTTTTCAAGGGTGGGGCGGAAGGAGTATGTACACACACACACACACACACACACACACAACACACACACCATATATTTGAGTTTTATATATATATACGATCAATAAGGGATGCATTATCTACTACTTGCCGTGCCCTTCAGATCTCTATATATGTTCCAAATGTATCCATTGCAACACATAGACCTTAAAGACAATCAACATTAAAAACTGTGAGAAAACATTTCCATTCCTCAAATTATCAAATTAATTTCAAGTTTCTGTAAAAAATATATATATATATATATATATAGATTCAATAAAGGGATGCCATTATCTACTACTTTGCCGTGCCCTTCAGATCTCTATATATGTCCAAATGTAAATCCATTGCAACAAACATTAGACCTTAGACAATCCAACATTAAAACTGAGAAAATTATCCATTCCTCAAATTATCATTATTCAAGTTTCTGTAAAAATTTTAATTGTTGGCTCATTATACTTCCCTCTCTAAACCAACATGAAACATGGAACTGAATTATCAAGAAGAATAAATAAAAAGGACAGGTAAACATTATTCCAATATATACCATATTTGAGTTGAACCAAACTTGTGCATGCACATTGTGAAGCGCCAACCCCAGAGTTTACAACTTCGCTTTGGTACTCAATCTTACCCTCAGCTCCTCAGCCACAGAATCGATGAACTCCTCTGTATTCAGATACTGAGCCCTTGTAACCCTATAAAAAGATAAAACATTTTCATCTGTGTAACTCAAAGAGAAACAGCAAAGGTCTAAGAAGACTTGGCCTTTTGTGATTCCTTACTTAGGCCCATGGATAAGTAGTGCAAGGTCCTTGGTCATCTTTCCTGATTCAACAGTTCCAACACAAGCCGCTTCCAGTTTGGCAGTAAAATCCAATAGTCTGGCATTACCATCCAACTTTGCCCTGAAGATATAATTATTGACGGTCATTTGAGGCTTCAAAATACCCCGAAAATTGCATTCTTGAAGATTTTCAAGCTCCGACTATAATATTAAGCACACAGCATTAATGTTATACCTATGTGCAAGACCTCGTGACCAAGCAAATATTGATGCTATGCTGTTTGTACTAGTTTCTCCTCCTTTCTGATAAACCCTGTAATGGCGGGTAACAGTGCCATGGGCCGCTTCAGCTTCAATAGTTTTTCCATCAGGGCACACCTAGAACCCATATTTCAAGGAATAATGGTAAGAGAGTGAAAACAAGGAATACTTATGAGAAAAGACAATACTGAACACAGCATTTATACCAGTATAGATGTCATAAGTCCAAGAGAACCGAATCCTGAGCCAATGAATAACACATATGTTCAAGGAATATAATCAGAAGTGTTAAATTTCTAGGCAACAACAGCCACTCAACAAGCACCTTTTCCATTAACTTCAACAAAAACAACCAATAAAAAAAGGCAAAATATGACGTCCACATCATTGCTCAGGCTACACGTACAGATACGAACCTTGGGCTAAGAAATCACTCTGAACATCTCCATCATAATTTTTACACGCCCATACATAACCTCCTTCACTTTTAAGGGCATAAGCAACCATATCATCAATGAGACGATGTTCATACCTAGAAATCAGCAAATATAAGACAACCATATATTGCTGAAACTGGCCAAACCAACCAACAAGTTATGTAGAAAATACTCACCATATTCCAACAGCCTCAAACTTGGATCTCCATCGGGTTTCATAAACTTCCTGAAATATGTCCTTGAACCTTCAAGAAGAGTCAAAAGAAGTGAAGCACCAAGGTTATGAGTAACAGATATGTGATGTACATGCAGAGGAAGGAAAGAAAAGTCTGGTGCCATGAGCATAATCAAATATCCTTTTGCTGTGGAAGATATTCCTAGGTATAACCTCTCTCTGATTATGTATTGGACATAAACTTCAATCGTGCATATTATTAGCACCATAAGCAGAAACTTACTAAGGAAACACAGAAAAGCAACTTTGAGGAGAAAGCCAATCAAGGTAAGGAAGTACCTTCCATCATATTGTTTAAGAATTGTATTTTTTGTGCTAAGATAAAGGGGCAACTTCTTCTCATAAGCAGTGTTCATTGAAGACTCAGCAAATGCATGTATGGACTGTATTGCAAGTTAGATAAAAATATAACAGTTACAATTAATTTCTAGCAACAATATTGGATCTATTGTAAACATTAATAAGGGGGAAGGATGAGAACCTCATCAGTGTTATACATGGACAATGCCACACCTCCAGCCCCAGTGAACTTGAAAACCTCAAATTCTGTCTTCTCACCATGTCCTTCTGGTACTGCAGAAGTTTTTATTGCCTTCAGACAATGATATACAAAAACATTACAAGAGAGAGGGAGGGAGAAAGAAGCTAAATTTGATGCACGAATGTCATCTTTACCAAAAACCAGCTTAAGTTTGCCTGATCCTTTTATAACCGTGTCAGTTGCTCGGTACTGGTCACCGAAAGCATGCCTTCCAATGCAAATTGGCTTGGTCCAACCTGTAAAAAACAACAGTATACATTACTCCATTCTTTTCAATGACAAAGAATCAAACAGAATATCAATAAATCAATGCAAACCTGGAATAAGACGCGGAATGTTTTTGCATATGATTGGTTCTCGAAAAACAGTACCTGATAGTATAACCAAATAAATAAATAATAAGAGGCCAAGCAAATAACCACATAGATAAAGAGATTAAGCAAACGTGGAACATGCTTGAGGGAATAAAAAATCGTATATTTACCATTTAAAATGTTGCGAATAGTCCCATTTGGACTCTTCCACATTCTTTTCAAGTTAAACTCCTTGACACGAGCTTCATCTACAAGATAGCAAACCAAGATTACAAAAATTTTGGAAATATTCACTAATAATTATGTACATAATTCCTATAAGAAATTTTATACCTGGAGTAATTGTTGCACACTTAATTGCCACATTGTACCTAAAATTGCAGGGGAAAAAGGCAGACAAGTAATAGTATGATTCTGAGAAGGTAATGCACATAGCAAATCAACAGTCATTATGCAGAAAATAAGCAATTTTAAAGAACTTATTCATTTATTTGTCATGGACAAGTCATAGAAACAAAGAGAAGTTGGATTCAGCACATACTTAAGAGTGGCTTCAGCACTTTCTATGGTGATTTTATCATCAGTAGCATCTCGATTGGAGAGTCCAAGATCAAAATACTTTATATCCAAATCCAAAAATGGGAAAATAAGCTGTAAATTGCCAACAGACAAGAAAAGAAATTATAAAAAGAATATTGTATCATTGAATTGTTCAAACAAAAAATAAGAAAAGATAGAAGAAACCTTATCTTTAATAGATTTCCAAATAATTCTAGTCATTTCATCTCCTGCATCAGAAAGAATGAGAAAAAGAACTCATTAGTCATACCCAATTCAAAAAGAAAAGCTTCCAAAGATATCTGAAAATATATATAAGATCAAAATTACGAAGTGATCAAGTGAACTGACAGAGTATAAATATGAGGGATCATGGGATAAGAAAAAGAGTAAAAGAGAAAGGAAAAATTGAAATTAGAAGAATTTAAGATTGGAAGAGACCCACCGTCCATCTCAACGATGGGATTGGCGACCTTAATCTTCTGGAACGCCATTTTTCTCTGCTGCGGAGCGTTCGATTCCTTACAACTGCAACTAAAAGGCAAAAGTGGAAGACAAAATGCTCGGAAGACGGAAGCCTCTTCTTTAACACGGGGAGGGAAAAGAAAGGAGTTTAGTCTAATATAAGAAGTCTTTATTACTTATTGGGTTTAAAATCGTAGTTATCCTTTCAAAAAGGAAAAATGAAGTTGGTTTCTTCCTTTCAAGGAAATGTTTTTTTTTTTTTTTGCAAGACAACCCAGTACAGGAGGAAATAATTAATTATTAATCTGGAACCAAGAGGTCTCAGGACATCACCCTTGCCATTAGACTGGGTATTGCATATTATTTGCAAGTAATTTACTAATTTGGTGAACATTTTTATGTATATCTAATTTGTTTGTTGGATTTGAAGGGTACGCTGGAAAATAAAAGTTTCATTAAATGTGCTTGTCCGTCTCTTTCCAAATTGAGAGGAAACAAAAGACAATTTAAAAGAATAAAGGGATATACATTTTTATTCTTTTTTCTTGTTATTTTAGTATCCAAATCCGAACAATGAAAAAGTAAGGGAAAAAAACAACGTTTCTTTCTTTCTTCGTATTTCTCCCATGAAAGACGGAATTTTGACAAAAATAATTTTTTTATAAGAGATTGAGACAAAAATAATGAGTTTCAAAAAATTATTTTTCGATCTAATGTCAAATCAAAACTATTTACCAATTTAATATTTGTCTTGCCATGGAGAGAAAGTGTTACCCTAAAACCACAAACTCAGTTAACAGTTTTAATGCAATAGAAAAAGTAACTCTGTACTGACAAATAGTTAATAAAAAGTGATTACATGAATAAACAATAATTTTTATTTTGTATTGAGACTAGCAATTCAACTGGTGGTTTCAATACAAAATAAAAATTTTAAATTTTCAAATGACCTTTTAATGCAAATATGGGATGTGACCACTAATCAGCAAAAAGTATACAAGAGAATAATGTTTTATTAAGAGTCCACCGGGTTACCTAATTATTTTAATAAAAATAATATTTATTTACCTAAAATATTGTTAACCAAAATTTTAAATTTTCAAATGACATTTTAATGCAAATATGAGATGTAACCACTAGTCAGCAAAAAGTATACAAGAGAATAATGTTTTATTAAGAGTCCACCGGGTTACCTAAATATTTTAATAAAAATAATATTTATTTACCTAAAATATTGTTAACCAAAACACACCATTTAGTGGTTTTGATTTATAAATATTTCAAGTTAAGAAATAAAAATAGAAGTTTCTTTACACGGTTACAAATTACCAAGAGTAATAAAGTGTTTCGAGTTGAACTTGTATTATGTTAAAAATGTTTTAATAACTAATACATGAAAAATTAGCCATAGTAGTATCTATCCACGTCCTCCTGTTCCACATCTTGGAGGCCTCCTATTAAGACGCGAGTTTTAGCATGCTGCATCTTCTCTAATGCCTTGATACTCTTCTCCATGCTCAATATTTATATCGATATTCATGTGAGGAGCTTGAACCATATTCATAGATGGTTGTTGTGGGTTGAGAATGTCAGAAGAATTTGTTGATCCGGTGTCATCATTATCTTAAAGAAATCATTAGATGAATGTCTAGCATGAGATGTAGATCCATCACATGTGTTGAAAGACGTCGCAAAAGTATTGAAAGCAGGTATTTTATATTGAAATGGTGTTGCCTCGCCCATTTCAGGAAAGTAGTATGGGTTTGTTGGATTGTCATCATCGAAGTGTAATGAGCGTTCGATGAGATTTCGCAGATGGTACACTCCACTCAGGTTGTGGTGCAGAAGATGATGTGTCGGGCATATTAGCGTGATAACCTTCATAATAGTTATATGTCATATTAAAAATCATTATATTAAAACCATCAAATGATATCTGTATTTTGGTGAAAATATATTTTGAGTAAATAAATATTTTTTTATTGAAACCATTGGTTAGTCTAGTGGACTCTTAACAAAACACTATTCTCTCGTGTATTTTTTGCTAACTAGTAGTCACATCCCATATTTGCACTAAAACAACCAAATGAATTGTGTATTTTAGTAAAAAGGTCATTTGCTAATTTACAATTTTTATTTTTATATTGAAATCGAATGTGGCATCTATTATCTAATCCTTCGAAACCGAATAATGAGTGTTACAGGAGCTTTAAATTGAATGTAAATTGTACCTACTTTTAGCATTGGTAATTAATATGCTTTATTTATTTTTGCAAAATTTTGTTGAAATTCAACCTGTTTATTGTTCGTATTATTCATTGCAATCAAAACGAACTATTCTCATATATAGATGTGCCTATTTTGAGATTATATTAAATGGACAAAAAATTGCAAAGTGTCAATAATTTGTACATTAGAATCTATATAAAGTTCATATTCTTCATTGCAATTAGACAAACGATTCTCATATATAGGTCACCACATTTTGACAATATAGTAAGGGGAATAAAAAGTTGTCATATATTAGTCAATTCCACTTGCCTAGTAAACTGCAATTTGTCATAAGAAATTTGCTTCAACTACTAAGACTAGATTCCTTGTTACAAATCCCCATATTTGGATTTCAAAAAAGATGGCACCAATGGCAATATTTAGCCACCAACCTTTGTAAAAATTATCCAGAAAACAAAAAGTACAAAGGACAATTTCTAATATCAATTCATTCTTCATAAAAAAGAACAAAAGTCAACTTCAACTCCTGCTATACACCCCTTGAAGTTATTCCTCGTCTATACTACTTGCAGCTCGTTTTGATGCTGGTGCAAAAACTTCACCTCATTGGTTTGACCACCCCTTTGTAAAGGATAAAGTAAGTGGAAATAATCTCCATATATGTAATGCCAAATAGTTGTTACCCTTCAACTGTAATCCCCATTTCTTCCCCATCTCGCTTTCCATTAATTAAAAGGAAGGATGGGACTCTACGGTTCTATGTGGATTACAGAGAGCTCAACAAGAGCATTGTGAAGAGCAAATTTCCTATATCCCTTCTAGAGGATTTATTGGATGAGTTATATAGGGCAATCATATTCTCTAAAATTGATTTAAGGTTTGTTACCACCAAATTAGGATGAGGCAAGAAGGTATCCTTAAAACTAATTTTAGGAGTCATTTAGGGCACTATGAATTCCTTATAATGCCCTTTAGGTTGACCAATGCACTAGTAACCTTCAAAGCTTTTATGAATACCCTTTTTCAACCCTATCTTAGAAAGTTTGTGTTTGTCTTTTTTTATGACATTCATATATACAGACCTACTCTTCTATCTCGTTTGGAAATTGTACTCCAAATCTTATCCACAAACCATCTATTGGCTAAGGAATCTAAGTGTGAATTTGGTCAACTACACATAAATTACAAAGACAACATTTTGCTCAAAGGGTATCTACTGGCCTTATTAAAGTTGAAGCCATGACCAATTGCCCTCCTCCTAAAAATCCAAAAGGACTTGGAGGGTTTTTAGGTCTTACTAGCTGCTACAGAAAATTTATAACTAGTTATAGTGTTATTTGAAAGCATTACCTGAATTTCTCAAGAAGGATCTGTTCACTTGGAATACTCAAGCTCATGCTGTTTTTAAGCATCCTAACTTCTCATGACATAGGTCCCTATTCTGGCTCTACCAAATTTTGCCTAACTGTTTCTCACTAAGTGTGATGCTGGTGATACTGGTTTGGGGGCAATCCTAATGTGGCACAACCAGCCTCTAGCATATATTTCTAAACCTCTAAGTGTTAGGGCACAACAACTCTCAACTTATGAAGGAAAGCTCATGGTCATAACCTTGTTGTTACACAATGGAGGCACTATTTAGAATTGAGGCCCTTTACAATCAGAACTAATCAAGAGAGGATAAAACACTCATTAGAGCAAAGATTATACAACAACATTCAACAAATCCAAACTAATAGGATTGGATTATGTCATCCAATATAAGAAGGGTATTGAAAATAGGGTAGCCGATGCACTTTCAAAAAAGTTTAAAGGAGCTACTACTAGTAACAGTATGACAATTTTCTCACTTACCGCAAAATGGCTATAAGAAGTATTGATCTCTTATGAGAAAAACAATTCCTTAGCTATAACCATAGCTAATCTTACCATAAACCCCCCAAGCATTACCTAATTTTTCCTTATCAAGGGGGCTAGTAAGATACAAGGGAAAAATCTAAATTGGGCTACTACAAAACTCAGGCAGAAATTAGTTTCCTTGTATTATGAGTCACCTATGGAGGCCATTCTAGGATCAAAGGTACATTGGCAAGGCTACAACGAACATTTTACTAGCTAGGTATGTAGAAATCTATTATATAATTGGTATTCAGGCGTGATACATGTAGAAGGTACAAGGCTAAATCCACAGCCTATCCTCGGGTTCTTTGACCTTTACTAATTCTTTCATAAATCTTGAGTTTTTTTATTATTAGGGATAAGAATGTAGTCGGGGGTATGTTGGTATTATTACACATAGGATAAAAGGTAGAAATGTAGTAGAGAATTAAATTAGCCAAAGGACAAATTAGTCAGTTAGAATATTCTCAATTACTAGAATGGTACACACAGCTAGCTAGTCACAGCTAGTCCTTTTATTCCTATATGTATACATCTCATTAGGGACCAAGAATCATATCATTCAAAAATACAAATGTTCTTTTTTTCTCTCTTTCTCTCTTTCTCTTTCTTCTACCATTCTTCTTCTCCTCCACCTATTCTGATCTACTTTCTATTCTTTGCTCATTCTATTTTCTACACCTATCCAATTTTCTACTCAATTCGTCAGTTAGGAAAATTCCTAACACTATTGAAATAAAGAAATTAAGTATTGTTTATTTTATATTTGACTTGTTACAAATGATTGTTTACTTATTTGAATTATTAATAAGTTAGTGTTAGCTTTAGAAACTCTGATACCACTTATTAAGAAAAATAGAAAGAAACTTAGAATTGATAGAAAACCTAAGAATAGTAGACAAAGAGAAAAGTTTAGAATGGAACTTCTTTATTAGAAATCTTTATTGCTTGATTACAACTAGCATAGAGTAGGCTATTTATAGGTAAACTAACACTTGTAACAACCAAGACATTAAACTCTAGTTTTGAAACTTACGCTTTAAATTTACCTAAGAAACTATTCATTTATTTTTTGAAGCTACTTCATTTACTTTTGAAACTACTAAAAACATAAATGTAAGTAAAGTAAAT